TCCTATGGAAAAAAATAGCATGAATTCACCATGTCCTATTTTCCTTGGTTTGAAGATGAGGGAAGGTACCACAGAAGTCAAGTGCCGTCTGAGGCCATGGTCAATACATGCACTACAGAGTGAACACCCAGGCAGTATGACACTGCCCAAAGCTGACCTGGAGGCTGATGGGAGCAAACTGAGGGACAGGAGAAGCTAGGGAGGAGAAAGGCAGGGCTGCTCTCTGGGTTTGGGGCCTGAGTCAATTAGGCTTGAGTTCAGACCAGCCCTCAGACTTGTCTCTTAAGCAGGTTGGTAAATTGTCTTCTCTAAACCAAGCCATTTGTTTTCTCTGAATTCAGATCTGAGAAGTCCTGACTGAATGACCCATCACCTCAGTGAGGGACATCAGGCCACAAACATCATCCACCTCCTGTCTCACCCTCCAGCTCCCATGCTGCTGCTAACAAAGCCTGCATTCCAGGCTCCAGCTACAGTCACTTTGGCTGGTTTTTGACCATCGTGTTCTTGCTGCCTTTTCATTGTCATCTGTTACACCCTCCAATGTGGTCCAGCCCACTAAGGTCCAGATCTCGAGTGAAAGCCTCTAGCCGCCTGACTTACTCCCCTTAGACCCTCCCAGCCCCGCCCCACAGCTGGCTGCTCTGTTCTCTCCACCAGGTGAAGGCTGCTGACAAAGGAAGCTGAGAGCATTCATCTTGAGGCACAACCACCAGGCAGAGAGAGACCTAACTGGGGTTGGCTCAAATCTTTAGAAATCTCAAAGTGCACCCCCAGTGACTCACCTCCTCCAACAAGGCCACACCTCTTCCAACAAGGCCAGGCTTCCTAATCCTTCCCAAAAAGTTCCATCAACTTGGGACCAAGCATTCAAACATGTGAGCTTATGGGGGCCGTTCTCATTCAAACCACCACACTCTCCTCTCTCCTCCTTCTGTGGGAATGGCCAGTGCAGTGGTTTGAATGAGAAGCTCTTAGACTATGGTGGCACAGTTTGAGAGATTTAGGAGGTGTGACCTTGTTGGAGCAAGCATGTTAGGGGCAGGCTCTGAGAGTTTAAAGGCCTTCAAACAGCATTTCCAGTAGGCTCTCTGCTTCTTGCTTGTGGTTTAAGATGTGAGCTATCAACTCTCGGCTTCCGGCTCCAACCATCATGCTAGCTACCTCTTCCAGCCATTATGAACCATAACCCTCTGAAACCCTAAGTCCAAAATAAACTCTTTCTTCTATAAGCTGCCTTGGTCTTGATGTTTTTATCACAACAATAGAAAAATAATAGAGGCAGGGTTGGGAGGAACAGTGTCCCTTGATAATTGCAGTACACAAAACCTTATATAGAAAATATGTAGTATACAAAACAAGCACATTACCCAGTAGGTACTCACACTGACATTGTCACTTCTTTTTCATAGGTGAGGGGACTGTGATTCAGGAAGATTTGTTGACTGGCACTGAGAGCATACATTTACAAAATCCACTTTCACAGCAGAGGTGCCCTGCCCCAGCTCTAGTCAGAGGTTGAATAAAGCCAAACTCTTGATCACAGTGACCACTGGGGGTCAGGAGGCAGCCATGTGTGGGCATTAGAGTCACTCCCAGGCCATATCACACCCACCCTCACAAAATCTTGCTTCTAAACCAGCTGTGGTGGCCCCCATCTATAAACCCCGATGAGCTGAGGGAGGAGGATTACTGTGAGTTCAAGTTCATCCTAGAGCACACAGTGAGTTTCAGATCAGGAGGGGAGTGGAGAAACAAACCAGGAATCCCAAGGGCCAAGTGCTGGAAACAGACCAGACACTCAGAACTGCATTGCTGGATGCTTTAATAGCAAGCCAAGGAAAATGATAGTGCATTGCTAATGGCTGACACGCTCTCCAAAGGCAGACACTAACCAACAGGTCTCAGCAGCAATAGGTTACAATAGGTTGCTGGGTTGTAGGACACTGCTGTCTAGCATCAGGCAGGACAGGAGCTGCACTCGTGTCCATGGGGGCCTGGTGTGCAGAGGACACACTAATGTCTAAGCAGTTGGGGTGTAAAGCCACTTCAGTGTCCAGGGCACACAGCAGTCAGCAAGCAGACTCACTTGTTCCTGGAGCAATGGTCTCCTGGACCCACCCCAGGTGTCAGGGAGCAGCTCAGAGGCAGCATTGATTGCCAGGATCCCAGAGTCAGGAGGCACCACAGTCAGGTATCTTCAGTCCATCATCTGCTGCACTAATGGGGTGGGTGGCAGGGGTTTCCTGGTGCGAAGCAGGCGGAGGGAGAGCTTTCCACAGGGCACAGCTTGCTCCAGCATCTGTAAGACATGGTGCCCTATCTTGACTGGAGGGAGTGTGCCGTCAGCTGAGGAGATCAGACAGGGCCCTGTACACAATGAACTCAGACTGATAGGGTAGCACAGGATGCCAGTCACTTGATTGTCCCAGCCTGTGTCGCACAGGCTCAGGCTAACAGAGTGCCCTGAGAGCCAAGGTGCCACTTCTCTGTCCCTGAGACCTGCCCCTAGCCCCTACCTTTTTCTATCCTGAAAGGAGTTGACTGCAGCATCCCCCCTCCTCCCCACCTCCCACCCAGCCTAACAGCCTTAACCATGTTGTACCCATTCCAAACACTGGGCCCAAGGGACATCAAAGACAGGAAGTTCGGTGAAGAAAGCTTTGGCCTACCCCTCCTCTCCTAGCTCTGTCTCCGTCCTGGGTGTAAGCAGACAAGATGATGCTGGAGACACAGTCTTTCCTCACCCCCAGTCGCCACACATCCCTAACACCATAGGGACTTGAACAGATGGCTTAGATCTTTCCTATCCATGTTTACTCTAACAATTCTGAACCCCTCTCCCCCATTCCTCAGGGTCAAGCCAGGAAGGCTGCACCCAGCTGGTAATAGGCTGCCTCCTGGCATCTGAGGACTGTTCTAGGAGCAAAAAGGTATCTGGCACAGCCACTGATGAAGTAGGAACAATAGGAGTCAGTGACAATGAGGCTTAGGGTTCAGGTTTTTGACTCAAGCTGAATGCTGCCCATGTGCCTGTAATGGCTTCCTTGTGCCAGGAAGGGAGGCCATGTCTTCTACCAGCATCTCACAGAGTGGTGGAGAAGCAGAGGGAGACAGTTTGGAACCTGGATCCCCACGGTCCAGTTCTGGCTCTGCCACTCTCCTAAGTATGTCACATGCTTGTCTCTTTGAGTTTTACCTTCTCAAAGTTCTCTGAGCTTCCCTGTTTGTCAGTGAAGGGGTTTTTGAGAATTTAAAGACACTCCAGTCTACAGCCATACCACCCTGAACGCGCCCGATCTCATCTCATCTCAGAAGCCAAGCAGGGTCAGGCCTGGTTAGTACTTGGATGGGAGACTGCCTGGGAATACGGGGTGCTGTAGGCTTTGCTGGGTGTTGGTGGTGCATGCCTTTAATCCCAGCACTCGGGAGGCAGAGGCAGGTGGATCTCTGTGAGTTCGAGGCCAGTCTGGTCTACAGAGCGAGTGCCAGGATAGGCTCCAAAGCTACACAGAGAAACCCTGTCTGTGTAAAAACCAAATAGATAGATAGATAGATAGATAGATAGATAGATAGATAGATAGATAGATAGATAGATACCCTCCATTCCACTGAGAGAGAAGTAAAGCACATGTGGAAGACAGCAGAGTGTATCAGGGAGTAGGCTCAGAGGAACCTGGTACAAGAGAAGATCCCTAGTTCCTAAGACCAGGAAAGTGAGTGGGGACAGTTCCTGGACCCTGCCCACTACCCTGATGCCAGGAGTACACACACACACACACACACACACACACACACACACACACACACACACACACACACACACACACGAAAAGAAGCTATCTTGGATGTGAGAAATCTGCCACTCTCCAGGCTAGTGTGGCACGCTGTCCAGAACTGGTGCCAAACCCTTAGCTGCTAAGCAAGGATCATACATCGTCGGATTCACAGCTGATTACTGCACCTGCCCACACCCTCTGCCCCCCACCAGGCCACATTCACAGGCACCCTGCACCAGTGCCTTTTTGGCAGCAACTTGAAAGCAGGAGGGGTGAGAGTCACCGAGAAACAGCCTCTCACAGAAGCCCCCGGGAGTCCCCACACACACCGCTGAATATCGATGAGCCAGTGAACCCACCTCCCACCCCCGTTTCATGGCTCAGTCTGAAGTGGCCTTGGACTGGGATTACTTTGTCCTTTGGGCCACCCAGGCCCTTCTCTCCAGATGGTTCCTGTCCTTGGAGAGATGGAGACAGGAGACCCAGACACAGCCCCCACAGCTGGGAATCCTCAGCCCCACTTCTACTTCCTGCAGCATCTGCTCTTGCCAGGAACCTTGCCATCACCACCCCCAACACACAAAACTCCTGGCCCTGAGCTCCGTGAGCAGGGGTCGGGGAGGGGACCTCAGCACACCTCTCTACCAGCTAGGTTTCCCCAAGACCAGGGATACCTCCAGTGGGAGTGAAGAATCTCCTACCTCCCCTCCTCTGCCTTCACCTTGGCTGGCCCCAGCCTGCCCACTCCTGTGCATGGACAAAGGCTTCATGAAGGAGAGAGCAGCAAGCTGAAAGTCAAGGCTCCAGTACAAAGGGTTACGCTAACCCCGCACGCACACTACAAGTTGGAATGGGTCGATGCAGAGGTGGGGAAACATAGGTTCCAGAAAAGCTCCCATCACCAGGCCCCTCCAGCCTCCTCCTTTATGCACATGGGAACACAAAGGCTGTCTGTGCCTAGGGGACAGACAAGGACAGAGAGATGATCAGAGGCACGGGGCACCTCCAGCCCCACCCTGGACTTGCAGCTGTCTGGCTTGGTGAGAGAAGAGGCCATCACTGTGACCACCCCACCCAGCCCCACCCTTACTCTCCCTGTGCCTCAGGGCTCTCACCTGTGCAGGAGACAAGAACTTGTGGGATGGACCTTCCCCCTGTGCTCTGCAGAAATGGGCTCTGGAAGGCACAGAAGCAGCTGATCCTCTCAAGAGAGGCTGACACCTAGGAGTCATTCCCTCCACAGGCACCAGGCTCAGCCTCATGGGATGCCTGCCTTTCCCGAGCCAGTGGTGCTATCAGACCCTGAGCTCGGAGGAGGAGTCCACCACCCAGGAACAGGATCCCACAGAGCACCAGAAGCGACAGCACACCCAGCACTACCGCCTGCACCATCCGTGTCCCCTCCGGTGGCCGGAATGGCAACCCAGACTGGTTACAGCAGCTCAGCCAGGCAGCCTTGGCCACAGCTCCCACCTGTGAGGCGTTCATGCTCCCACCAGCTGCCCAGATGTGCACACTATCCTGACAGCTGAGGCCCTGTGAGATGTATTCAAGGGGCGGGCCTCCCAGGGCTCTACCGCCCCACTCTGCCCAACTCTGTGCAGAATGAGTGAGTGTTCAGGCCCCTCCTAGATAAGCTCTTACAGAGTAGCCTGAAGGTCCTTCTCTGGCAGGCCCGATGCTTAGGCCTAAACAACCACCTTACTAGTCCCATGCCCATAATCTGAAATTTCCAGGTAAACCCAGGAGGCCTGTCCCCAAGGCTGCTCTTCCCCTCAGGGCTTTTCAGCTTTTGATATTCTTAAACAAGTCCCACCCCCAGGTGCTGGTTGAGGTACTGACCACTCTGAGCTTTCTGTGCCTGAACTAGAACACTTCTAGTCCCCAGGGACAGTCAAATGGGCAGCCTAAAGGGGCAGGCAAGTAGAACACACAGGATTCCTCCTGCCCCCAGGGCAGAAAGAATGGGTAGAACAAGGTACCCAGATGGCAAGGCCCACCTCCACTCTTTTTCTCCTGTCCTCTTGGCCAAGAAGTCCTATTTACCAAGAAGAGAGCATAGACAGAGAGCAAAGAGGGGTATGTGGGAGGATTTAGAGGGAGAAAAGAAGGGGGATTATGTAATTATTATTTCAAAAAATAATTTAAAAAGAGCATAAATATAGCCCACTAACCCCACCTCAGGAGAATCACAATGCTCCAGAAGGATGGGGACATTGCTGTCTTGGAAGAGAGGCCACTGCCAGGGTCGGCAATCCGGATGCAGAGAAGCCTACCCAGGTCTCCTTCAAAGTCCTTGAGAAAATTTTAAGCTCCCTTTTGCCTTTTTCTTTCTTTTTTGTAAGAGTGATCTGTCTGCATGTATGCCTACATGCTAGAAGAAGGCACCAGATCTCACTATAGATGGTTAACTACAGCGTGGGTGCTGGGAATTGAACTCAGGACCTCTGGAAGAACATCCAGTGCTCTTAATGGCTGAGCCATCTCTCCAAACCCTTAAATTCCCTTTTCAAAAATAAAGTCACTATGGAGAGGCTTGGTGTATAGTTCAGTAGGTAGAGTGCTTGCCTAGCAACTTGCCCGATGGAAAACTTTAGGTTCTAAATTCCAGCATGGCATAAAAGAGGGCGGGGCAGAACCCACCTGCAATCTCAGCATCTGTATATAGAATATAAGAAAGTCAAGGTCAGACTGCATGGTGAGTTTGAGGCCAGCTGGAACTATCTTTGTCACAAAACAAACAACCAAGTCTGGCAGTGGTGTACACGCCTTTATTCCCAGGACTTGAGAGGCAGACACAGCCAGATCTTTCTTTGAGTTCAAGGCCAGCCAGCCTGGTCTACAGAGTGAGATGTAAGACAGCCAAGAACTCCAAAAACAAAAACAAACAAAGAAAAAACAAAACAGAACGCCTGGTTATGACTTTAATCCCAAGCAGAGACTGGTGGATCTGAGTCTGAGGCCAGCCAGAGCTACAAACTTACAAAATGAGTTCCAGAACAGCCAGGAATGTCTCAGTTATGTAGAAACCTTGTCTCAAACATTGCCCAAAAGGTTACCTCTAGTCAATGCCTTAGAAGAAAATAGGGAGCACCCTGACTGTAGCAACCTGGGAAGCTTGGAAAGATACCTGCTCTAACTCCAATCCTCCAAAAGTGCCCGGAGACTGAGAATACCAGAGCCTGTCAGGAAAACAGCCGGGGCAATGTACATGTGGCCTGGAAAACCCTGCACAGTTCTCTGGTCATCCTAGCTCCCTGCTCCAGGACCATGACTAGGTCCCCAGGCAATTGTAGTGGTCCTCCCTATGGGCAGCTCATTCAGTTGTGCTTAGATCTCTCCAGGGGTAGCCAATAGCATCGAAAAATACAGAGTGAACAGTGGAGACTGGTTACACCTATGTAAGAATGAGTGCCTTCCCAAGCACTGCCCCAACAGTGAGGCAGGCCAACATGGGCAGTGTCACCCGTCTTTCCTTAGACACCCCATGTCAAATGATCTTGTGTATGCTCTGTAATGACAAAATACCCCATTGCCCCATTCATGGGCCAAGTCACGGTCACATCTGGTTGGGTAACACCTACATATGTGAATGTCTAACAGAGCACAAGCTCCATCAGTTTTAACCTGTCTTTAACTGCATCAATTCACTCTTCTCTGTTTGGAATAATGCCTTCAACATACATGTGTGTCCTCATGAGAATGTCAGGAAGTATTTGTTCATGTTTCAGAGAAGGACACAGGCCAAAGACAGCTAAGCCAAACTCACATCTCAACTTTATTTGCCACCCTCATGGTAGTTCTGCATTGTGTAGAAAGAGAACCCCACCAGGGGAGGTGTGGAGAGGCTACACCCAGAACAGAACCACTGCAAAGGTGGCAGGGTCACCAGAGGCCGGTAACCACAAAACAAGGACACCAGGAGCTTCTCTTCAAGTCTCATCAAGGGTCCAGGGCAGATTCTAGAGCTCCAAGATCCCCGCATCAGACTCCCAGAGCCATCATGGAGTGACCCATGTAGGCCTCTAGCAAGGCCTACAGGGCAAGGGTGTCTTTGATGAGCCTGCGCATGGTGGTGGTGACTGAGGTGCCCAGGGCATCCGTGATCTGAAAGGAAATCTTGTAGAGGTAGGGCTGCACGTCCCGCAGGCCCGTGTCAAACACGTTGTCCACCTCTGACTGCGTGGGCATCTTGGGCAGGTACTCGTGCCGGCTCATCACCTCCACAATGTTGATGATCTTCTCACAGAGCTTCTCACCCACCTTCTCTCGGCAGATCTGCCGCTCCTGCTCTGTGGCCAGGGCTACCACGTGCACCTTGACTGTCCACACCTCCCAAGGGATGCACTCGTCTGAAAAAGGCCAGCGAGACTTTTTCTTCTGGTAGAATTCCAAGGACATCTGGCCTAGCCCATCACCACCTGAATTTCGCAGTGCATCCTGGGGAAGACAAAACAGATGAGCAGGCCATGGCCTTGGAAGGGTCTTATCCCACCATGGGGAATTCATTTTCACTTCTAACCACCCTATCTTTTAAACATGGCAGGGAAGGAGACCTATAGAAGGTCAAGGACTTGTGTGAGGTAACATAAATTACCGCTAGCCTAAAACTGGTTCAAGCAAACTAACACCCTTCTCCTTGCCCAGCTTTTTTGTTTGTTTGTTTTCCCTTTTTGAGACAGGGTTCCTCTGTAGCTTTGGAGGCTGTCCTGGAACTGGCTCAGTAGACCAGGTTGGCCTGGAATTCACAGAGATCCGCCTGTCTCTGCCTCCTAAGTGCTGGAACTAAAGGCATGTGCCACCACCACCCAGCTCCAGCTTTAAGAAGTGGTGCTGTATCAAATGTGGGCTGAGGTGCAGATGCATGTGCACACTCACACATAACAAATTATTGTGTTATAAGCAGGGGCCATGTTGTGGGTTGAATGAGAAGGTCCCCACAGGCTATTTTTTTGTATATTTGAATACTTGATCCCTAGTTGGTAAAACTGTTGGGGTTTGAGTTACAGTGATGTGAGGATATAAGGAATTTGTGACATGGATATGGAGATATCTGATATTGTATTTCTCAAGAAGGGAATCTGGAATGCCAGCAAACGTGAGAAAGACCATGGAATGCCTGTGGTCTTCCTTGGTTTCTAGAAAATAGGGCAAAGCCTGCTCCCATGCCTCAGACATTTATATGACCTTGAAGATGCTAGCCTGATGCCTCTCTGTTAAACTGTAAAATAGTAACTCTGTTATCAAGGGTTACACAAAACCAGGCGTTGGTGGCGCACGCCTTTAATCCCAGCACTTGGGAGGCAGAGGCAGGCAGATCTCTTGTGAGTTCGAGGCCAGCCTGGTTTCCAGAGCGAGTGCCAGGATAGGCTCCAAAGCTACACAGAGAAACCCTGTCTCAAAAAAAAACAAAAACAAAAAAAAAAGGTTTACACAAGAAACCCAACATTGATAAACAAAAAACAAAAAATAATGTTGAGACTATGAAACACCATGGAGACTCCTGAAGTTTAACTAAACACATATTGCATTATGATATGGCCAAAAGCCTATGGGACCAGGGAGTTAAATATGGTGGTTTGAATCAAACTTATAAATGTTACTATTTGGTCCACAGTTGGTAGAACTGTTGGGAAAGACTAGGAAGTGTGGCCTTGCTGGAAGGAAGTGGTTTACCACTAGGGGCAGGCTTTGAGGTTTCAAAAGCCTCGTCTCTGTCTTGTGCTTGTGGATCCAAGACACAAGTTTTAGGGTTTTTTTGTTTTTTGGCTTTTCAAGACAGAGTTAAAGATAAAGACCAGACACAGACAGGCATCTTGTCATCTTTAGAGAGCTCTCAGTTCCATGCTGCAAAACTGGAGTCTCTCCTTTATTCAGCATCTTCCTTGCTGCTTTCTAACCATTTTTCCCTGACCCTGAGACCTGCACATCTTAAAGCGTGACTAAGAAACCTCACACCTCACCCTGCCTAAGCTTACAAGGAAAGTGAAGGAGTGTGAATGCTGTAGCCTCGGACAGCTTCCACCTGACTATGCAAACCCTGCAATACACACAGTGCCTAGGACTCAGTCTGACCTATGGACAGACTCAGGGGACAAAGAAATGGAGGGAGGGAGAAAGGCAAGGAAGAGAAAGGGTTTCCCTTCAGTACTCTGAAACTAGACTTCTCAATCAAGACAAAGATAACAATCACATTGCCAGTCAGGAGGGGAGAAGGGCAATTCAGGAGAAATAAAAGACAACATATTACAAGTTGTCTCTCATATGCAAAATCTAGATTAAATATGTGCACACACATACATGTGTGACATGAAAGGAGGGCTATTTAGGGAGAAAGGAGACCATCAAGAAAGGGATGGGTACAGTGACACACATGCATGAAGACGTCATGATGAAACCCAGTATTTTATATACTATCTAAAAAAAACATTAAAAATCCAATGCCGTTTCATCACTGGAGTGGGGTGACCAATATGAACAGCCTGGTGTGTCCCTTACCCCTTTCTCCCTGCCTACACAAGTATACACAAGCACAGGTCACAATGCCCAAAGGGACTTCACATTTGGAGAGAAGTCACTCAGCGAAGCACTCTCCCTCTTAAGAGTTTCCCAGGGGGCAAAGGCCCAAACTACGTGAGGAAGAAACAAAAGAGAGAGCCGTCACAAACAGCTGTGGAGCCAGGGAAGTCAAGCCCATGGGAGCAGTGACCACCTCCTAGGGACCTCACTGCTTAAGCTGAGGGGCTGAAGTAGTTTAGCTTGCCCTTCCCAGCACCCTCCCAGACACACAGAGCTTACCTCCCCCACAGGAACTCTCAACACATCTGCTCTTTTGAGCATTGAACAACTGACTCCTGCTCTTTGGAAGGGCAAGCTGGTTGGCCACACAGCCAGGGTGGAGGGGTACACATTTCAAGTCCACTTGCCATTGGCTGGGCCACTCACCTACCTTGAATTCCCCAACAACCTTGCGCAAGGCTCGGTCCAGCTCGTCAGAGGAGACACGCACATATGTGAAGTCAATGAAGTCA